ACACAGCTCTGTCACTATTTTTCGTAACAAGATGTGAGCGATCGAGATTAATGTCTGGGAGAAAATGGGTGGAAGGTCTGCTCTCATCTGGAGCTTTTAAACTCTGCTCGCCCATGTGAAACAGAATGCTGGTAGGGTTTCATGATTACAGCTGTTTGTGTGAGTCTCCTGCATGCCATTTCTTTGTTCATCACTGCAGGGGTGCAGAGCTCCTTCCCTGCATAAAGCACTGGTTCCTACTGTTACTCCAAAGCCAGACACACAGTCTTTGCTGTATCTTAATAAGGAGCCAATGAAACCTTTCCTCTTCTCCTGCTTGCTTGCTGTTTTAGTTGGCTTGGCGACCTTCTCTTTCACAGCACTCCATAGGGCACTCTGTAGCAATGCATATATTGAGCTAAGGAACTTTCTAGATGGGTTTTGAGTTAGTTCAGGAAAAACCAAAACTGTCTGTCACTATACCGTGCCTCAGTTTCTGCTTTATGATCTGGAATTACCTTTCATATAGGTGTGAAAAGACTTTCATAAGTACAGCCCAAATTTTGGAATGCTTGGGCAGAGGCTCACACCACTGCAGGAACCGAGCTCCAGCTAACGCACTGGCAGAGTAGCACACTTTGCTACTGCAGCATCTGGCTCTTTCCATTCAACGAACAGCTTTATGGAATAAGAAGTGAGAGGGCAGAACTTGGAGAGGGGCATCAGGCTACTGGTAGAAAGGGCCCCAACTAGGCTGGCTGAAGGGCCTGAATGAGGAGGGCCTACATCCCACACATTATGTAACAGTGAGAAGGCAGCACAGGATATGTGCGCCCTACTTTCTAAAGTTAGGAAGCAACTTCAGCTTTTGTGGTGGCAGCTAAAGATCAGGCTGCCAGTTAACAGGAGTAGCATTTTCCTGTCCATGTATCTAGAAACTATCATTTACCTAATGCTATCTGAGTGTAAAGCAACTCAGCATAAATCACACTGATCACAAGCTACCAGAGCAATCCTAATAACACTTTCCAGAGACTAAGCCCCATGGAACAGACTTGAGTTGAAGTCTGAGTAGACCTGCTTAGGATTGCTCTCCAAATTCACCTGCCACCTTTTCCTCTCCAAGTCTGGACACAGACATGCAAAAGTCCAGATCTCTTGACTAGAAATATGGATGTAGCAAGAGTGTCACTTTATAATCAGGTCCTATGGCAATTTAGGATCTCTGTCCAGTGGCTTGTTAGTCAGGACAATACACTATTATTTAGAAAACACTTTCTGGCCTGATAAGGCAAGTCAAAACTTCATGCAACAATTGAGGCAATTTTGAATTGCTAATAAGAAAATCCTTTATATTAAGTTGTTGGTTTTTTTAATTTATTCCTCCAGTGATTAAAAAAGGAACAGTGGCCAAACTCTGGTAAGCGAAGCCCTGGCACATAACAAAGGACAGAGAGATTGTCTGTGCAAGTATTTGGGAGATGTCCAGAGAAAAGGATTCATAGCAGGAGACCACAAAGAAAAAAGAGAGTTATTTCTGCTGCTCCTAGAGAAGCACAAGGGCACCTTCCAAGACAGCCCATTCATATTTTATGAACTGTTTAAACACTCTTCTCAACTCCATCATGTAATATTAGAACCACAAGTGTTAGATACCGATGTGGTACAAAGTGAGATAACCTTGCTGAACTCCACAAGAGTGTGAAAGCAGTTGAACTTAAGCCACATGTAGATTCTTATCACAGCTGTAAGAGAGTTCAGAGAAGGGAAGAGCCAAACCTCCATGTCCAACTGCTTCTCCATAGAGTACAGCATAGGGTACAGCCAGGTTATGCCAGCTAGATGCAGCCATCCAGAGCTGAATCTGTTCTGCTCCATCTGCAGCACTTCCCACTTGCGGGACGACTAACTAGCAACCATGTGCACCCCTCATCGCTCAAACTCTGCCCAGCAAAAAGTGCACAAGGAGAGAGCTCCAGGTGCTTCTGGAGCACCTTCACTTTGTCTGCAGGGCTGTCACCCCTGTGTCCACCTCACCAAATTAGGCAAATAATATAAAACTAAGATCATAACAAAACTAACTAAATGAATGATCAGTTTTTAGCAACAGGTGTTTTTTTTTTTAAAGCAACCTAATAAGCAGCCCCATGCAGCTGCTCTGAAGACAGGGAAGAGGCATTTAGCCCATACCTACCGTGCTTCTTCCATGATTTCCATCCCCCCTCAAGCTACAATTAACTCTGGAGAGGGGGGAGAGGTACAGTGCAATACCTGCAGAGCTAATTGCAGCTTTGGAGAAGGAGAAGAAGAAGAGGTTGGATTTATACCCCGCCCTTCACTACCCAAAGGTGTCTCAGAGCGGCTTACAAACTCCTTTCCCTTCCCCTCCCCACAACAGACACCCTGTGAGGTGGGTGGGGCTGAGAGAACTCTGACACAAACTGCTCTTTTCCAAGGACAGCTGTGCCAGAGCTTGTGACTGACCCAAGGTCACATCAGCAGGTGCAAGTGGAGGAGTGGGGAATCAAACCCGGTTCTCCCAGATTAGAGTCCGCACACTTAACCACTACACCAAACTGGCTCTCAAGCGATTTAAATCATTGGAAGCATGGAAGAAATGGTTAACTGTCCCCTTCCCCATTCATGATCTTCTCTGCAGTTGCAGGGGGCTACTAATTAGCTTTAAAAAAAAAAGTGGGAAATCCGCATCAGGGATTGCTCATATCCTGTCTAATTTGACCCACAGAAAGCCATAGTGGTGTAGCCCTTTGCCTAGGATAATGTAAAGGAAGAATCATATTCCCTTCCATAGTCTACATCTGCCTATATGTATGAACGGGTAACTTCCATTTCAATGTATCTGAGGAAGTGTGCCTGCACACACAAGCTCATACCTTGAATAAACCTTTGTTGGTCTTAAAGGTGCCACTGGACTCAAAATTTGTTCTACTGCTTCAGACCAACATGGCTGCCCACCTGGATTTGTATTCTACACAGACACTGGGCCACATAGCTTTCCTCCCCAAATCAAACCTATGCCAAAAGCACTGACTGAGCTGTTGTTAAAAAAAACCAAAACAAAAACTGAGGTTATCCCACTTTAACAAGAGAAAGGCATGAAAACCTCATCATGTCTACTACAATGTAATAATTCTCTATAGGATAGCATTTTGGCTTCCAAGCAGTGATAATCATTATATCTCCCTGTTGTTGAGGTCAATGGCTGAGGAAAGCTTTTTCCTAAGAGAGGCGGCAGGCAATTTCAGTGTGGGAAAAACCCCTGGAGGCTGTTTTCAGTTAGTCTATTTTGGACCCTCTCATACACTGAGCACCACTTAGGAAATCTAAGACCGCTAAGCCTCAGGAGGAGTCTGTAATTCCATCTTCAGAATGTGCCTTTTTGGAAAATATCTGGCTGCCTAAATTATCTCTTTGGATAGAAGAAAACATGCATTTTGATATGAACTCTGCCAGAAGGCAAGCAAAGCTCAGAGTGTTCTCTGGCATTTTTACACCTCTAAATGCCAACAATTCTTTTGCATCCCAAGAGCATGTGTGTGAGATACAGAGCTAATCAGTATGTACCCCAGTAATTATGTGCTCTGAGTGACTAAGGAAACAGATATGTGAATGGCTTGAGTACGAAAGCAGAATCTGGCTGTATGGCAAAGAGAAGAGCTCGTGAATTATGTCTCTGAGGCATGCATATGAAAAAAGTGAATGACTGTTAATTTGTATGGGTCTGAAAGGGAAAAGCAGTGGGTGTGCCTGTATTAGTATGCATGAAAAAGGAAGCAGAATTTCTAAAAGCAAGTATTGTGCAGATTTCCATTCAGTGGCATTTTGAGCCCTAAAACTTGGAAGCAGATAGCAGGAGAATCGCTGATTGGCTTGCAAGTTACTATTCTGAAGATGAAAAATATATGACTGCTGGAATGGGAAATATCAGGTGGAAGCCTCACAGCTGTCTTAATCAAAGGGACGGTTTGCATTTGATTAGCATCTGTCTCTACTGGAATAGGCAGTAGAAAGCAGTGAAAGGCAGAAGAGTACTACCCTCCCTGGCTTGTGAGAAGGACCTTCTGAAGACCCCAACTTTTCCCATGGTTTCTTTTTCTTGCTTTTGTTGCAGATATGTACAGTATTAATGTGCACAGAGATGCACTTGGGGGGGGGTGTATGTGTCTGTGTACGTATACATGTATACATATGTGGGAAAAGGAATCATGTGCTATGTACATCCATTAGTAAATCCAGCACATAAAACACAAGTTTGTCATACACAGAGGAGAGGAAAGTTAGCTGGCCATTCTTGGGCTCTCCTAAAACTCTGTCAGATACTGAGTTCAGCCTGTGGAAGAGGTTAAAGAACACCCAAATCATTCAGGCATATGCTTGCAAGTCCAAGGGGCGGGGGCAGATGGCTCCAATATTGCACAGGGCCCCCAAGCACAAGGTGAGTACTGCACTGCAGGGGTTGTGTTGTGGTGACAATAGTCCCCAGAAGCTACTCACGTCCAGGGACTCACCCATTCAGTACCTTGGATTAGATGCTTTCACTCATGGAGTGTCTACATTCAAAACAAAGAAAACCATGTGCAATCAAACCTGTGCACACACACATACACACATCCAGTGAAATGGAGGACTGAAACATGCCCTAT